GTTCAAAAATCATTGAGAAAACAATTCTTCCCCTTTCTCTTTTTCTTCTTCTTCTTCTTCTTCTGTATCTTCTAGTTTTTTTTTTAATAGTTCTTTTTTTATTGGTGATGGAGTGCTTCAGAAAAAGTTGTGTTGTACGTTGTACTATTTATAACTAAAAAAAAAAACAGATACTTTGAGCATGCAAAATTTAAGGGGCCGGGTCAGACTCAAAACATGTTTTGTCGGTGTAACAAAAAAAATAATGGAACTCAAGCATGGAAATTAAAGTTAACAACAATTTCTTTTCGCTTTCGTGGTGAAAATTAAATGAACAACATTGCTAACAAAAACTATTGGTGAATTGCAAAAAATAATCAGCCCCTCAATGATATTGAAGTAAGCGTCGAATATGATCCTGATTATATCTTCAACTTCTTAGCAAAACTTCAAAACAGAATATGTTTTATAAATAGTGAACAGGAAAACCAACATTTTTGTATTCGTCCTTGTATCACTTGAGTTGCGGTTCGTTTTTCGTCACCAATATAGCTGAGCGAAACAGAATGTTTGACAACTATTTTTTAAGCATTGCAAAATGATTTGAGTTATTTAAAAAAAAAAGAAAAATGAGAAAAAGCTTTATAAAAAAAAGTAAACTGCCTAAGAAAGTATAGAGTTATGCAAAGCATTGACTTCCATGCGCCATACAGGGAGTTGATTGCGAGTGGTATTAGATGATTATCTATCATAAGTTGAAAAACGTTTTTTTCTTATCAGAGGTTAACGCTTATTTCCAGTAGCGGATTTAGGTGAGGGGGGACGCTTTTTTTTCCTCAGGGATGCATTCCCCTCCTTTGTACTATTTTGAGATATCCACTTTTGGATAACTGACCGTAAAATTTTTCTAAAAGCGCCTTCAGCGCCAATATATACTAATTTTGAAGGGGAGCGCGCTGTTTTAGTATATTAGGTGATTTTTACTTCTGAAAACACTTTGCTTGGAAACTTTGATTTTTCAACCTGTAGTACAATAGAAGCAAGGTACGCGTTAAAAACCCCTACTAAAACTGAGAAGCTAAAGCTTCCGAGCATTTTCAGACAAAATACAGCATTTTCAATCTAAGAATTTCATACGTATGAAAAAAATGGTTCCATAAAAATTAGAAAACTGAGAAGCGAAAGCTTCAAGTAAGAAAGTATGTAAAATGTGTCAGCTGTAAAAGAGAACTTATAATTATGCAGTAGCACTACTTGCTATATATTACGAACAAAGCAGGCCACGCTATTCAGAAGAAAAAAAGACTACTAGAATAATTGTCTAACCAAAAAAACTTAAACAAAGATAGCCTGTTACTGTGCGAGTAGCACAGAATGTTCCGACAATAGTCTTAAGAAAAAAAATCAAATTAGAGTAATTTTTCTGCGTGCTGTGACAAAAAATCTGAACGAAAAAAAGCAGAGTTGAAGAACTAGGCTGCAACTAGACAGATTTGATATTTATAAGAAAAATAGGCTAATTGGAAAACAATCTTTGTAAAAAAAAACAAAATGTTTAAAAAAAAATCAAGTTTTTTTTTGCAGAAAATTTTTGAATTTTCAAGTTTTGGTTCATACATTGGCGCCAAAAAACTCCAAAAACTAACTTTTTTCCAGTAAACTAAATTTCCGAGGCTTAAATTAAGCATAAAAAACTTTTTCCAAGCCTGATTAGTCTCACATTTTTAGCTTGAAATTAGACCAAAAAATCAAAAAATTTCGAACTGGTTTTTCTCATCACTGAGAAAATTGTTTTTAGAATTTTTCAATATCATTCAAATTGCAATTTAAATGGCCTTCGTCCATTACGATGATTGGCTGTGGTAACTGATATAGCGTGAAATAACAAAAAGAAAAATACTAAACTAAACCAGAATACCAAACTCCTCCCGAAAACAAAAAAAAATGGTAGAAAAATTTGTTAGGTTAAAATAAAAAAGTTTGATTCCTTTAGTTTTGAGGTCACAAAAGATTTCATTGAGAAGTGTTTATTTTTGAATTATTGATTTAACTTCGTGCCAATTTTTTTTGCATGAAGGTTAACAAAACCATATAACAACACAGAGGCAAAGCAGAGCTCCACATCACTTGCGATACATCACATACAAACAATCAGGAAAAAAACTTAATTTTCCGTATGTCTTGGTAGAATTTTATTCAGGGCAAGCATGCACGACCTTTGAATATTTAATTAGCAGCAGAAAAAAACTTACAAAGATTAAACAAAGACAGCAATCTTTGAGCAGACTCAAGTTGAGCTGAAAAAAAAAATACATAAAAAGTTTATATAAAGAGTCCTCTATAAATCCCTTTAAAAACAATAATGAAAAACACTCATACTTGCAGCTGCCTTGAAATTTGCTCACAACACAAGAAAAATCCATGATGTGACACCGAGTTTGATATTTGTGGGCAGACACCAGTCAAGCCGAAAAAATTTAATAGAAAAACAAAAAACACTTTATTAAGTTTCTAGTCTTCATTGAAGCTACATTAAATTGCACTTGCAATTACAATAAAATTTGATCACAGCACAAGCAAAATCCGTGACGTGGTAACTAAGACGACAAAACTCGAACAGACAAACTAAAGTCTGACAAATAAATTTTTACCGGAAAAATATTTCAATTGCTTGCATGTTGAAATTTAGGCCCGACGAGGACTCGAACTTCTATTTTAAAGTTCTTATGCAACAGCGTTACCTCTTGTTCAAGTGGGAAGCAGCCGGTAAGTTGTTAAGCAAGTAAGGATGGCAAGTAAAATGACACGTGAGAAGTGTTGTTGTTTACGGTAAGAAAAAGTCTAGTCCCGATTACATGACAGTTGCTCTCGCAAATGCAAAACTTCAGAATTTTGCCTAAGCTGGTAAAATTTTCCTGAACCAATTAAATTGGGTGACTTGCAACTAAAGAGATTTTTTGTAACTTTTTGAGGTGGTTTTCTAGTGTACAAGAAAAAATTTCAAAATAAAAAATTAATTCAATGAGACAAAAAACAGCTCGACAAATACAACACCGTAAGTCTCTCCTTTTGAAATTTTTTCAAAAGTTTTAATTACTATATAAGGACTACTCGCAGAAATTTTGGGAGGCAAATTTGAACTTTTTCTAAGGACAATAATTTTTCTCTTAAATTGTTCCGATCACATAAAAATGAAGAAAAAAACACAGAGGCGGAATAAAGGTTCGCACCATTTACGATACAACACAAAATTAGAAAAATCAACATAGGGCCAAAGCTGGAAGTACGTCTTTTGATAACTTGGTTATACTGATGTATAATGAAATGGGTAATTTCAAAACTTCGACTTTGTACAAACTTTTAGTTGTTTTTCTACCCATACAAAAGACAAAAGTTTGAAAACTTTCAAAAGACATAACATTTTTCTCACAAAAAGTAAAGATGACACCGCTTCTGAAGAAAAAAATTTTGCTAACAGTTCATTCGACTGAGCCAGGGCAGTTTATAAGAAAAGTAAAAACTTCTAAAAAAACGGTCAAAAAGTCCTAGCAAAGGTCGTACCCGCGTTAGCAAAGATTTCCAGAATCGAGCTTCCTCAAGAGACCACTCAACTAAAGAAATGGCGTGATAGTTTTTTTGAGAAAAATCAAAAAGTTTACAAAAAACGGCCAATATTTTAAAAAATTTACGTTTCCGAGAATCATAGCTTCAACTTTGAAAAAACTTTGGGGGGAGCTTCTTATGCAGAAAAGATTACCACAACCTGTTATTTCCGTTAACAAAAAAATTCAGATTACAGAAAATAACTTTCAAGAAAAGTCAAATAGTTTCAAAAAAGGTAAGAAAAAACTTTTAAGGTCTTTTCCGAGAGCCCTAATTGTAACAAAATTGAACCAAAAATTTTACACAAAAATTTTACACCAACAGGTCTTAGTCAGATTTACACCAACAGGTCAGGCATATTCGTTGCTTCTAGAATAAGCGTACCTGACACGCCTAGAAGTTAGATATCATTAAGAACCAAGATACAAAGTGATTCGAGTCATTCTGTGAAATAAGTAATTGATCCAAAAAAAGTCTATAATCCGATTTGATAACGCTTGCTAATCGCTCTATGACGGAAAAATGGGCTCTATGACGGAAAAATATGCTGTCGAAACGTCGTGGAGCAGAAGAGGTTTGTGACAATTGTTCACTTGCCTGTTGATACACAATTATTCGAATCGCGGGTCCATAAAAATTGCTGAATATCACACTTTTTTGAAATAAAAACACTGCCGCCTAATATAACCTTAAATCCTCAAAAAATGATTACAAAAATGAAAAAATAAAATCAACAAATAGATTTTATTTTAATTTTTTTTCACTATCGCAAGTACTCATTTTCCAGCTCAATTAACATTATTGAACCACTCTATACAAAAATAAATTCGTTCTTAACTTTGTTTTTTAACTAAAATTTTTTTGGGTAAAATTAAAATAATTTAGACAACCAGGGGCCGAATCCCTGATGGGGGAAGGGGCCGTCCGCCCACCCCTAAATCCGCCTCTGAGTAAGTATATTCATATAAGTATTTTTTATCGTTTTTTGTTCCGCAAGAGGAATTGAATTAAGTAAACTAAAACTGGAACAAATAACAAAAAAAATGCGGCAAAACAGATAAAATGTTAGGCAGAGTAGAGTTTAAATTGGGAGTCAACCTTTATTCAGAAGTGGTGTACTTCAGTCTGAAAAACGATAACATTCTGACAATTTTTCATGCTTTTTAAAATTTAATTGGAAAATAAATCATGATTCAAAGATTTTTGAACTAATTAGAGCTTTGAAAACAATTAAAATGGTTATTTTACGAGCTATTCTCGATTTAGCCAAAATCGGAAAAAATCAAATCCCTTTCAAAAAATTTTATGAAGTCCGACTCAGGCAAAATGAAGTAGTACGATTATACGCTCGCTACCTATCAAATTAAAGACACTTAAAATATATGGCATGACTTGCAAGTCCAAATAATCATCGGAGATTGGTTCATTGGAAAAGGTCGCACAGAAAAGTCGAGCAGCAACATTTGTATCAACTAGTCGGAAAAAATTCATATTTGCATCAATCAAACAGATGCTCAATTAGCTGCCCCTCTTTGCTAGAAATATGAATTATAAACAAAATCAAACTCGTACGAAAGGAATACAATTTGCTAAGCATTACATGCCTATCAAAAACCTTCCCACTATCAAAAGTTGAATAACCGAAAATTTTTAAGATACAAAAACACAGCTAGCCAGCAAAAACAAAACATTGCAGTCGGGTAGAAGAACTACTCAAAAAATCCAAAATGTACTATTCCGATCTGACAGGGAAGTTTTCGAAAAAGAAACTCTGCATTTTTTGGAATTCAAACATCATTATTAGGTCGATAAGTCTGAAAATTATTAGACAAACATAGCCAACAGAACTGGAAAAAAGTCAATGAATGCAAAAACACAGAAAAATACTGACTGCATTCTTGAAACAATATCAAAATTCAAAGAAACAAAAAGAAATTAGATCGCCATACAGCTTGTTGAAATTCAAGTACATAGCCAACAGACAGTTGGAAAAAAGTCGAACTCAAATTCAGAAAAAAAATTCTTTGGTAAAATCTCTATCGAAACGTTCGAACCTCTGAGACAAAAATAAATGAATTTAAAGCTTTTTGATGTTTTAGAACAAATTAAGATGAACATTTTTTCGATAAGATAACCCCAATTTGAGAAAACTTTTTCAAATGTTTTTGTTTCATTTTTTTTGTTTCGTTGGGAAATCTGATAAATAAAATCCATTTTCAAAGTTAGAAGTCGACTACGTTTCTTGCCACCTTTAAATTTTCGCTGTTCCATTTTGTAGTTTGTCTTGCTTCTAAGAAAGGAAATGTTCTGAACATAAAGAGAACTCAAAGTCAAACCGCAAAAAAGTAAATGCGAGCCTCAATGCATTTTAATTTTTTTCTCTTCAAATTATCACGATCTACATAAATGTCTAAACTACGTTTAACCACTTTTAAATAATTAACGATTAACCCTTACTTGAAATAAATAAATCAATTTGAGAAAACTGGATTAAAAAGTTTATTTTTGAAGGTCGCTTGGAATTTTTATAACTAAAACACTTTCGAAACGAGAAGTTGTTTGTTCAATATTTTCGTGACTTTTGTTCGATAGTGGAGTTTGCCACAAAAAAGGAAAATTGAGTTTGATCAAATCTTAACACTTTTCCTGAAAAATAAAGCCATCGCGCCCTATATTAGTCTGAACTACGTTCATTGGCAAGTTTGAAACCTGCTGTAACTGTTTGACAGCTCGTATTTGTTCCGACCATTTGATAAACTTAGTGTTACTCGAGTAACCTTGGTTTTTTTTGAGTATTTAAGCGCCATTTTTTAAATCAAAAACTTCAAACTTCTTTTTTTTCCGTTTTTTGCAAACTTTGTCCGCAAATAAGATTTTTTCATTCTTCAAAAATGTTTTTCAATTTGCGTGGAATAGTTTCAGCTCCTTTATCACATCACGCCAAAAATAACAACTAATTTGAAAAAAAAATCGTTGTGATTTTTAAGACCATGGTCGGAATATTCTGTCTACTTGCACAGTAACCAGCTATCCTTGTTTCTTTTGCTCAACAACAATCTTAGGCAACTTGTAAAACGGCGGGTTTCATAAATTAACAATTTTACTGACTAGAATTAAAATAATTTTAGACAATCACATGCCTTTTATGAACTAGACATATGACTAATATGCGTTCGTGCACAATTCAAATAAATAGTTTAAAAAACCTTTCAACCGAAAGCAAGATTTACTGCAGCATAGCTTCCGAAAATACGAATATGCTTCGGACTTGTATTATGATTTCGAGGTTGTTCAGCTTAGTGTGCATGCTTCAACAATCATAATATTAGAACAATTTGTGCATATAATGATGATTGAACAGTGCTCTAGTTGTTAATCATATTTGTACAACGATCAAGTATCGTTTCACAGGGCACGATGTTTCCTCATTCAAATTGAAGATTCTCCTCAGAAATGACAAGAATGTAATATTCTGCTCGATTATACAGTAGCGTTCATGGCAAAGAGTGAAACAATGATACCGTTTAAAAGCGCTGCAATATGACAAGGATCCCCGAAATATATCAAGCTTTAAAACACAAAAGCGTCTTGGATCAACTGCATTAAATTTCTCGACAATTACAAAACCATTTTTGTAATTTTCAACTTCAACGCGAATCTAAATATTTCATTTAAACAAGAAGTATGTATAAATTTAAGTTTATCTAATTCAGGGCAGGGGTGGATCTATGATTTTCTAGGATCACGCTGGGGGATTTCATTCCGAATTTCTACTTTTTTTATTCGAAAGTTACTGATTTTGTTTTTATGTCAGGCAAATTGAATTTCTGAGCTCTCCTGAAACACCCGAATTACCTTATTTTTTTTTGTTAAAGCTAGGGGCAACACCTAAGAAATTTTGCGGAAAAAAAAAACACTTTTTGAAGGCGTTGTTTGCCAAAGCGCCTCTTGCAATATCTTCACTTCGTCGGCCCAAAAAAATGCTACTTTTGCGCGATGAAGGGGTCGAATTCCTCAGTCGAGTAAAGAGCGAGAGAGAGGGAGGGGGTGATCCATGCCTTTCTTAAATCAGCCCCTGATTCAATCGATTCGCCAGTATTTTCAACAATTCACTTCATCTCATCTATGATCCCCATCATCACACCATGTTCTCTTAAACCGTGAGTTGTTCACCATTCAGGTCCATTGGCGTCCTCATCCTCCTCGTCGTCGTCTTCCGTGAAGCGGATGGCTGTGCGGAAACTCTGCATCAACTCTTCCACAGTCCCCCCTATCGGAGCAGTTGAGCCCTTCGGCTTCGTCTCTTCTTTCGGGGGCACTTTCTTCAATTTGTTCTTGCTGACTACAACAACACACAGACTCAAAACAACAATACAAGCTGGCATACTCTACAGATCAGAACACTCGAAAAACATCCATTTCCAAGTCAAACAATAAAAAAGTACATGAATCAAAGAAAATCAAATTTCTTTCCATGTCGACCATTGGCACACCCAATCAATCCATCATTACTTAATGGCACATATTATAATGGCATGGTCGTCTTGTTGCATGAACTATTACAACACAATCATGCGATGCAACACAATCATAAAAATGAAGAAAAAAAACGAAAAATATTGAGAAAAAAAATAGGTGAACCAAAATTTTCGTATAACTCGATGAAGGACACCTATGGCCCAGCTAAAGCTGGATATACTTTTTGATATTTTTTTACGAAAAGCGAAAGGTACGAAAAGAGAAAGGTACGAAAGGCGTATTTGAGATTCTGGAATTTTCCCAAAGACAACATTTCTCTTACAAAAAACTAAAAGGCGCCGCTTCTGCAGGATAAATTCTGGCAACCGCTTCTTTCGATTGAACTTTTCATCTAACATTTGACAGAGCAGTTTTTGAGAAAACTCAAAGTTTCTAAAAAAAACGGTCAAAGTTCAAAGACTTGAACTTCCGAAACCGTAATATTTTTCTGCTAAAAGCATGTCGTGGCCGGTAAAGTAGAGAAAATTCCCAAAACCGGGTTTCTCGATTGAACACTTGAGCTGAACATTGGCACGATTATTTTCAATTAAAGTCAAAAAACTTTCAAAAAACGGTCAAAATTTTCACTTGCTTGAAGGCGGGATAGTTAACTTGGCAGGATAGAATTGCGCATAGCCGCTTATGCAGAAGAGATTCACCCGACCTGTAAGTTCAATTGAACCCGAAAACCCAGGTTTGGCAGGGTAGTTCTCGAGAAAAGTCAAATAGTTTCAAAAAACGGTCAAGAAATCAAAACATGATTTTTTTAGGGTCAGAATAATTTTTTGTGTCAAAAAAAATTGAACGTAGTCGCGCATGGAAAGGAGCTTGTCAAAGCTTTTTTGAATTGAACCCAACACCTCAGATGAGAGTGTAATTTTTTGGTAAAATACATAAAATTTAGAAAAAAACGCTAAAAAACTCAAAAAGTTAACTTTTCCCGAGGACAATAACTTTTTGAGTAGAAAAATTGTGAGTGACCACTAATGCAGGGGAGCTTCCCACTACCTGTTATCTCCATTGACTCCACAACCCCGGTTTTTGAGGGTTAGTTTCGAGAAAAGTTTTCAATTCAAAAACGGTCAAAAAAATCAAAAACTACACTATTCTGAGTGCCATAATTTTAATATAAAAAAATTTTGTGCGTAGCCGCTAATGGACTAGAGCCTTCCCAATTTGCTTTATTCATTGAAACAAAAATCTCAGATTTGATAGGTTGTTTTTAAGCAAAAATGAAAAAAAAAAATCAAAAATATCGGTCAAATATTCACCCCACAGACTTTTTCGAAGGCTTTAGACACAAAGCTAAAGAGAAAAGAGGCCAGAGGAGAATGCAGACACCTGGGAGTAGGCGGTCTTTCTATAGCTGCCCTTTTCTGAAATCGGTAAAAGGGTTTTGGAGAAAAAACTATTTTTTTGTGAAAAGTGATAAAAATCAAAGCGTCTCAGAGGAACTACACACAACCCATTCTTTGGATGGAACCCAACATCTCAAATATGGTAGTGTATTTTTTGCTCAAAAAATCAAAAAATTTAATTTTCCGAAACAAAACTGCCTTAAAACAAAACTAATTGCCGCCTGCTGGATTCGAGCATCTGATACCTAGATCTAGAAGTCTCTTAATAACTTCGCCATATGTCTTTGATTTTTCTAAACACCAGCCACTAACTAAGCGAATAAAACATATAAAAAGTACACAGATACTAAAATTGAGCGTTTTGCAGAAAACTTATTTACGCGAGTTAGTTTGGAAAACAGATTGAACCCGTAACATTCCAAGATTAAAACATTCTATCACATCTACTTACAACCCTTGATACCCTCCAGCAGATTGGAGTGACTATCCTCCGTTTTGGATGCCTGAGCGATAGGCTTCTGCTCGGTTTTCGACCTCAATTTTACTCCACTTTGAATCTGGTTCAACAGATTAGAACGGTCGTCCACGGGAGCAGGCGCCGGTTTAGGTCTCGGTGATGATGTTCCAGCTCCTTGTGGCTTCGGAGGTCTAGGTGCAGACGGTGCTCCAGTTCCCGGAGGTGGAGGTGGTGGTGGGGGAGGTGGAGGCCCTCCGCCGCCAGGTGGTGCTGGGGGTCTCGGGGCAGCTCCAGTCGTCGGTATTCCTGGTGGGGGCGGTGGAGGAGGCGGAGGAGCCCCTGTCGTTGGACCCGTCGCTGGGGGAGGTGGTGGCGGTGCTGGTCCACCAGCATTCGAGGGGATTGATTTTAGGCCTGGAGGAGGTGGTGCTTCTATGATTGGAGGGGGTGGTGGCGGAGGAGGCGCCGGCCCTCCGGATCCCATGGGCGGAGGAGGCGCTGGACCCGATGGCGGGGCAGAGCCTCCCTTATGCTTAAGTTCTGGCGATGCATCCATAGGGTTCGAAACTGCTCCCTTTACAATGGCTGGCGGGGGTGCTGGAAACATATCAGGGGTTCCCGCAGAGTTTTTGTCGCCAGGCGAATCTTTCTTGGGGGTGATATTGATGTAGTTATCAGAGACCGAGGGCGGCTCGGGAGCTTTTCTGTTTGGCTCATACTGCATTTTGGGTCGGCGGGTTTCCTCCGCCAGAGTCTTGGCCTTTCCTGGCTGCTGTCTGCTTATCTCTTTTCTTCTTTGCTCCTTCAAACAAACAGAAATATTTCACCCATTAATTTCATTTTACTAGGAACAAGAATATAGCAAAAAATGAACCTCTTGTAGCGAAAAAGATTTCTGCGCTAATGATGAGACCATCAAAGCAATGATAGTCATATCCAACTGATCTCAAGAATCACAATCAGCCCAATCTTCAAGTTTTTTTTTCAATTTTCCATTTGATAAAAACAAGTTCCATTTTATGGCAATCTCCTATTCAGGGAACTTCCATTTTCGTATCTAGGAAATTCTCAAATATGGCGAATCAAAGGGAGTGGATTTTCAAAAAAAAGAAAACTTTGTCGAAATTTTGTTAGGTGGAACAAATTCGATTTCCCAGCTCTTCGAAAAGTGAAGTGTATGAAGAGCAAATTTTGCCAAGACTGTTTACGCCCCAGAAAATTTTTAAAAAATGGTGTTAGGGCTTTTTATGAAATTTTGAACAAAAAGTTGCAATTCTTGGCTCGCGGTCACAACTAAAAAAACAAGACGCACCCCCATCCCCCTCCCCACCCTCGGAGAATTTTTCGACTCTCCAACGACTCAGAGCTCCATCCGGCCCCTAAACAAAAAGAGAGCACGTCCTCGTCTTTTATTGACAAGGCAAGGACCCTTCAATTCCGCATTAACTCTTGAAACTAATTAAATTCAATACGTTGGCTTTGTCGTCTCAAGCATCGGTGTTACCACTGAGCAACAAGCGCAGAATGCTCCTTGAACTGAAATCTGTAATTCACCAAAAAAAACACGTGTAACGATTTCACGTTCGAAAGTTATTTACGGGAAAAAGTCTGGTGCTCGGTTGCAACGCCCTTGCTAATCGCAATGGTTATCATTAATTATTGCGTCAATTTGACCAATAAAACTACCTATTTTAGGGGGGAATCGTGGCGTCCGAATTTGCCTCGAAAATTGTTCCCTTTTTTAATCTATACAAAAACTGTGCTAATCAGTTGAGGTCCAACATTAATCAGATTTTAAAAAAAAACCGATTTCAATTTCACATCTTGTTCGCGCTATCCGGATAACTTCAATCAGCACTATACTTAGCGACAAGTGTATTGCACAAATGAAATTTTGAGTTAATCGAGCTTTTAGGTCAAATTTGTTCCCCGAATTCTTTGAAGTGTCCATCGGCAACACTTTTGTGATGGCTTTGGAGAAAAGCAATCGATGCCCTAAAAGCTGCGAAACTTTTCGAAGATTTAATAAGTTGAACAAAAATGATCAATAACTCGAGTGAGCTGAGTTGTTGTACCTTTTTGTTGTCAATCTGCTCGTTGGCCTTGTCAATCTTCTTCATGAGCTCAGCTGCCCAGATGTTGAAGAAGAAGGCGGGATCAGTGTACTTCTTCAGCCTGGACACCTCTCCATTGCTAGACAAACAAAATTCAATGCATAAACAAACTCAACATTAATTAGGGAGAATACCTGATGGCAAAAGAAACAAATAGCAGGAAATTACATTAGCCAATCGAAATCAAGTCTGAATTTTAAAACAAATCTCTGAAAGAAAGCGAGACAGTTCGATCTGTTTTGCATTTTAAAATTGTTGATTGCGTGAAATTTTTATGCTTAGGTTTCTTAAAAAAATACGTATTTTAGCTGAATTAGAAACAATTTTAGCGGACTAAATCTTAATATACCTTTTTTCATTTCGAAAAGGAAGGATATTTAAACTGAAACAAGCTCAAATTTTGTCTGTTGGCGAGCATCTGTTCGGCTCGGAATCGCACGGAGATGATTCTTGTACAAAAAGTTGTTACGGGTAAATGTTTAGTACTCCGCTTGCAAAACAATCGCTTCTCTATCGCATGAGTTAAAAAACTTTCGAAACAAACGCGCAATTCAACTGGCTTTCAATAATTGATAGGGGATGGGATTGCATTTCTATGCGTTAATCACCTATATTAATTATCAAGTTTCAATAAGATTTCTCAAAATAAAGCTCTTGCTTCAATCAATTTAGAGTACATTCAAGTTTATTTTCGAAAACTGTAGGATGGCGGGGAGATTGTTCGGTTAGAGCTTCAATTCTAATATTTAAAGCATTTTGATTTGCAAGGATAAACGAAGTCAACAGACAGTTGGAAAAGAGAAACTGAGTTTTTTTAAGAAAAAAACTTCAACTTTCGAAAAAAAAAATTATATGAAATTAAAGTTCTTTGAAATTCAAGAACAAAATGATTGACACTAATTTGATAAAATTGAACGATTTTGAAAAAACTGAATCAATATGTAAATTATTTTTTTCTCTGGAAATCTGAAAAAAAAATCGAAAATCACGTTTTTCGTAGCTTTTACACTTGTGCTCTTCGATAGTAGAAAATGCCCTCCTTTTACACAGAGGCGAAGTTTCCCTTCGCAAGCACTTGTGAGAACACGACAAAAAGCAGCTCTATAAAGAGCAATAATAAAAACTAGAAATAAGCCTCGAGTTAGTAAAAAAAAATCGTCTAACTCTGAGATTCCAACTTGCGACCTAGACATTAAGAGTCTCATATACTAACGGCTCAGCCACGGAAGCTTAATAGACACCAAAGGCTAGCCGCAAATAACGGAGAGAACAAATTTTATGCAATTTCCAATGCTACAGTGAAACTTCCAACTGGAGCCCCAGCTAGATCTGGAGGTACCTGTTTGATAATTTTTGACTTTGTTGCACTGATGCTGGATGAAAAAGGTAATTTCAAAAAATTAAAAATTGGGCTTCAATTAGAAGAAGAGTGAGCGGAGGTGGTTGGGGGTATGGTACTGGGTGAACCCCGTGTTTTAACCTTGGCTATGTTTCAACATTGGGTATAGAGTCTACAATGTAATAAGATAGGGACTAGAATGGGAAAGGTTTCATGGTTTGTGTGATGGTAAGAGAATGGTAAAAATGGTATTTGTTGGGCTTTGTGTGGAAGTGTGAAGTTCTTTAGCAAAAAATTGGACGCGCGTTATTTAATTGATAAGCATTAATGTTTCATTACGTGTATGTTGTGGAATGAAGGTATTATGTTTTTTGGTTCATGGTAAGTCAATGGTAAGATGCGCAAAAACTGAGATTTTTAATCAAAAAAATTAAAATTTTTTCCAAAAACTTTCAGAACACGATAATAACTGATCTAATTCAAGCTCCGACTGGTTTTATCTGATATGCTCGAGATAGCTGAAAGAAAATTTTGAGAAAAAAATGAATTACGAAGAAAGTATATAAATCACTGCAGCGTATAGTACATTTACTGCAATAATTTACACTTGAAATTAAAAAACTACACATTTACATGAAATTACTTATAAAATTCAAAACATGCACATCATCAATATTATTCAAGTTTCTCTGGTAGAATTTAAAAAGAAGAAATGCTGAATAAATTGTGTAAAATTGACACAATTATCAGTTTTTGTAGTTTTCTGGGAACCATTCGCCAATACTTTTTTGTTAGAAAGGAATAAGTTGTTCTTTTTCGACCCACAGAATCAGCAAAGTAGTAAGTTTTGTCCAGTCGAGCAATCATGATCCAGTGTTCTCCTCTATCATTCCTTGGAGCTGAGTTGATGATTGCAAAAGAGTATTTTATTGGTTGAGCTACTTTTTCAGTGGGGTAAGATCATGTACTTGAACCTGAGCTCAGCAAATCTTTCTATAATTTGCAGAAAATTAAAATTATCCATCTTTGCAATTTTTTGTTGATTTTCATCTAAAAGCAAAAAAATTGATAGCTTGATAATGCATTTTAGGGTGAAAAATAAGATGAATGACTTATCACACGCATTTAGGTATTGAATCAACAAAGTCCCATACACAAGTCTTATGAACTCGACAAAGGTTATTGAACACTGTTTCACAGTCTAGGTTGAAGAAACTTCTCGGATTTTCAATTAAACAGCATTCACTTTGGACTTTTTCTAGAGACTTAGGCATGAAGAAAAACAAAATAGATACAATAACAATGAAAAAACCCAAAAAAACTACCAAATTTTTATAGGAATCTGGAAACTAAAAAAAATGAACACTTAACGACTGTTCCGAATTTGTCAATTTGAACATTTGATAGTCTTTTTCCCACGACTATCACTTCGGTTACCTGCTCCAAGGGAAACTGGAAAAACATTTCCAATCGAAAGCGTTCTCCACTAAGTTCTGGATAATGCAACTGTTCAGCTGCAACCTGTAGTGAAGTCAAATCAAAAACAAGAATATAGTGAATTTGAAAATTTTCCATAGGAAGAGCTGGGAAATCTTCACTTAATTGCATTGCTTTCATTGTTATAACACAAGGGCGACAAGGAGAATTTGTATCTATTGAAAAAATTGCTTTTGCACTCCGGAGAAATCTAAGCTCTCTCAAATGAAATAGTTGTCTCATCGATGAAAGGGTTTTCATGAAAGGATTCCGCAAAATATCCTCTCATAGATGAAAAGATTTTCATGAAAAGATCCCGCAGCAGCTGATTTTGTAATCATTCCAACAGCTATTGTTCTTATTGGAGCGTTATTGTATATATTTTCCTGTAAGAATTGGTTTTGACGAGATGGAATGATAAAGGTTCTTGCTATAGTTTTCATGTAATTGTATTGAGCAGGTATTATTTCCAGATTCCATTGTAAGTATTGATGATTACGTTCAGCAACTAAAATTCTTCTAGTAAACAGCAAAAAAAACAACAATTTTAAGACTTACATTTGGATTATCAGATAGCATGTAAAAATTAGGTCTAGCTCGATTTAGTTTAATTCGAACTTTGGTATTTGGTAGCCTTTTTCGATTTTGAGTCAATATGTGTTCCAACACACGAACTGAAAGCTACCAAAGCAACAACTTGGATTGGAAAACACGTTCCAATTTCTGTATCAATATCCTCGAATCTGATAGATGAACCAATTTCTCTTTCTTTAAGGACCCGCAAAAACTTGTAATCAACCATGAAATTTTGGCAGAGAAAAGTAGAATCGAAATGAGAAGTAAATTTCAAGATGTTGGAAGAGTAGTGAACAAGCAAATGACCAAAATTTTCCAGGAGCTGAAAGAAAGATGTCGAAATTATCCAACTGAGTATGAAGACGAATGTAAAGAGGACACAGAGAAACTGAAATGTCAACCCAGTTTTTAAGAATTCAGAAAAATCAGCTGATTGAATTGAAACAAAATCTAAAGAGATATCTTAACCCGTTACCTGTATTCGGATTCAACAGTGGAAGATATGATCCGAACTTGATCAAGAGCTATCTGATTCCCTTCTGAATCAATGATAAAGAAGCTGAACCAATGGTCATCAAAAAGGCCAACGATTTCATATCCTTCAAGTTTTGAGACATACAGTTTCTAGATATCATGAAGTTTTTGGGCGGAGCAACATCTTTAGATTCGTTTCTTAAAGCCTATACAGCAAGTGAGACAAAAAAATTTTCCCTTATGAGTGGTTTGACAGTGCCGACAAGCGATAGAATGAAGAGTTACCTCCATACGAAGCCTTTTTCAGTAAACTGAGAACAACAACCAACTTGATAAAGACTTTAAGAATTATCAGAACCTAAGATCAAGTGGACTTGATGAGCAACAAGCACTGAAGAAACTTCAAATCAAAACAGTACCAGCATCTGGAGGGGATAATTACAAATATTTACAGATTTGGCAGAAAAATGGAATGATTACATTTAAGGATTTTTTGCGGTGTTACAACAAAGATGTTGTTCCAACCCTTGAAGCAATGCAAGAAATGGTTCAGTTTTATCATCAGAAAGAAATTGATATGCTAAAACTTGGACGTACTCTTCCAAATCTGGCAAAAAATTGTCTGCACAAATTAACCAATGAAAAGTTCTACCCATTTTGCGAAAGTGACAGCTTTGTGCGAGAAAATTAGAGAGGATATGACGGGTGTACCATCAATTGTGTTCAGGCAAAAAGCTGTTCTCGCTATTTTGAGAACATGGTCATGTATTTTTACCAAGAAACAATACCATAATGCAGAATTGACAGCTTCCACACATCTGAAAATCAAAAGAAAATTGACTGTTTCAATGTAGATGGATATTGCGATCACTGCAAAAGTGTTTGAAGCTACGGGATGCTATCACCACTACTGTCCTCGCCAGGAAGCTCGTCCATCAATGAGCGATGAAGATATTGAGAGGAAACAAAAAGCGAGTGATATATTATTTGAGACGGGAATATAATTGCGAAAAAGGATACAAAATCGAAGAGATTTGGGAATATGAGTGGTGGCAAAATTTCAAAACGAACAAAAAAATTAGGATTCACATCCCATCCAACTTTCTCTATAAAAGACCTTTCTGTACAGAATGTTTACTGGAAAAAATAGGAGATGGATCCCTTCAGGCTATATTCAGTGTGACTTAGTGGTTCCAGATGAACTGAAAGCAAAATTTGCTAATTTTCCTCCAATCTTCAAAAAAAAAACACCGAAGTTGGAATACATGATATCGAGGAATATATACAAAAATATGCAATTGAAAATGATCTTCTTAAGCACCCCCAGCGAATGCTAGTATCTAATTCCAAACTGGAAAATGCTTCTATCATTACTCTCTTCAATTTCTATATGGAGCTTGTTTACAGTGTACAAAAGTTTACCGCTTTGTACAGAATTCCCCTCGAAAATACTTCAACAGGTAGTTTGTTCAGTCAGTTGTTGATGCAAGAAGTGAAAGAGACGAGAACCCTTTATCCGGAGTTATTGCAGAGACTATGAAATTTTAAGGTAATTCATCCTACGGTTACCTGATATTGAATAGATCGAGACATAGGATCACAAAGTATTTGAATGATGAGAAAGCACACAAAGCAATTAATGAACCACTCTTCAAATGATTGAACACTGTTCAGAAAAACTTGTATGAGATTGAGTTACTAAAGTCAAAAATTGAGCACAGAGAACCCATAATTGTCGGGTTTTTTATTCTGTAGTATGCAAAGCTGAGAATGCTTGAGCTTTACAACAAAAATTTTTGACAAGTTTTGAGATGTAAAGAAGTTTGAGGAATTCGAAATGGATACGGATTCGCTATATGTAGCTCTTGCTGAGGAAAACTTGTATGATTGTAACTGTTCGGGGAAAAAAGGAGACTGGGAAAAGTTGGGAAAAAATGGTTGCAGAGATTAATTTAGAGCAGATTCAAAAACGATCTTTTTCCACGATTACGTTGTAGCGTTCACACAGAACACGATAAACGAGAGACTGGACTGTGAGAGCCTGCCCAAAACTCTTACCATTGATTTACCATGTACCAAAAAACTAATTACAAGACTTTCATTCCACAATCTACACGTAATTGTCGATCCCACAATCTACACGATCCCACACTCATTTCCGCAGGCTGTAAAAAGTGGGTTAAAACATAAATAGACTGGGGAATTATACCGGCACACAGAGTAGTAGACTACTTTCCATTGGTACCATTTTTTGAAAATCAGTCAAGTAATTTTGGAGAAAACTAAATTTTTGAAAAAAGTGAGAAATTTTTCCAAAGCGTTTTATATAAAAAAATATAAAAAATTAAAAAACCCGATCCTATACATTTTCATAGTACCTGTTTTTATCAAAAAGGAAACAAGTGAACACTTTTATTTGCGAGTTAGCTTAGAAAAAACAAGGCTCGTAATAATACACTAAGCTGATCGCAAGAGTAAACAAAGAAAATGAACTCAAGTTAAAAAAAATCAAAGTTCAAACCGCGAAAATGTACATTTGGTCCTTTACAAATTTTAAGACTTTTTCCTGTAAAACAACAAAAAAATCGCCATGACCTAAGAGTATTCACTACGTTCATGACTCTTAATAATGAGAAGTGACCATTAAGAGGGGAACTGATATTGGGTCTACTGACATGGTCCATCTGTCGATGTCCGGAGGGGGTTCACATGCCTCATACATAGCCTTGATTGACTGGGGTCTGGTGCCTGCTACCAGGAAGCTCAGCTGCTCACTCTGCGTCACTTTGAACGGCTGTCGTTTATTGACGTCCGTCAGATTTACTGAAACAAAACATTCACATACACTATAACAAGCCTTCAGTTTTTCGATTTAAAGCATCCTTGAATTCCACGGACAACGAATCGGAGTGTTGAAAGGCAGGCCGACTGAACAATACCAAACTTTCATACACGTCGCCTTTAGTTATATAGAATAGACCCAACTAATGACAGTTCATTCTTAAAAATTGTTCTTACCAGTCTGCAAAACAAAGATATTTAAACCCTTCTAAAAAAGAAAAAACTCAAAGTTTGAATCCAAAATCAAATATTTATGAGGGTAGTTTTTCAAAAAAAAAAGCCAAAAAGTTTGAAAAAAAAATATGGTCAAAAAATCAGTTTTGATTTTTTAGAAGGTCATTACTTTCCGTGTTAAAAAAAATTAGGTGTGTCAATTGATTCAGGGGAGATTTTCATTACCTGTCCTTTTGATTGAAAACAAAAATTCAGAATTGGGAGGGTAGTTTTTGAGAAAAGTCAAAAAGTTTCCAAAAACGGTAAAAAATCAGTTTTGACTTTTTCGAGGCCATAACTTTTTGTGTAAAAAAAATGGGCATAGCCGCTAATGCAGCTTCACACGACATGTTTTAACCATTTCATTCAATATCTTAGATTTGGCAGGGTAGCTTTTAAGATGTAAAAAAAACCCAAAAATATGGGTCAAAATCCCCCCCCCCCCCACACACACACACACAGAAAGTGGAGTAAGGTAAAAAAAAAAGACTAGGAATTATGCAGGCACATAGGGTAGTGGGTGGACTTCCCATTGGAACCACTTTTTTGAAAATCGGTAGAGTCGTTTTTGCGGTAAGGTTTTTTTTGAAAAAAGTGAAACACTTTTCCAAAGCGTCTCAAAAAATGTTTTAAAAAATTAAATTAAACCCGATCTCACACATTTTCATAATAACTGTTTTTATCAAACATGAGTTTTGATAAATAAATCAAACCAACATGTTTCGTCGGATGGGTTGAGTCTGTGCACTTGAGACTGTACATCATCTAATCTGGTTCTAAGAGCATTCGTTCGCTGGTTAACATTGTCGGCTTTAACGATCAGCTCTTTAAAAATATCTTGAGCTAGATGACTAAGATCGCCCAGTTGCCGGATAACTTGCGTGAAGGACGCATTTGAAAAGTCCTCCCAGCTGTTTGCATCAGTTATTGACAGACTCTCAGGGTTGATTCGTCTAGTAGCGAGAGGCATAAGATCTGAAATATTGTTACTTTAAACTGTCACAAAAAAAGAACACTTAATTGGTGAATTGAAATAACTTTCAAGAAGCAAGTGTAAGTCTCCTTCACATTTCACTTTTAATTTACAGATTTTCACATTATACATAATTAAACATTAAACATTAATTACTACTAAAATATTAATAAGGCAATCAGAAAAACTCAAATAAATTTGAAGTCTTTCCATGACAGTTTACCATTGGTTGTCACTAGGATCTTCCCTAATAAAAAAAAGGTCAATTAAAATGGGCCCTTCCGTCATGCGACGGTACGTGCACAGGTTGGATAGGGCCGTACCAACGCTAAATAAATACATCGGCAAAATTTTATGAATAAATCAAGTCGATATAAATGCATCAAGAGATTTGTCAATTAAAATCTACCCTCCTCGATTATAGCACAAACAGAATTGTCTATGTTGGATGTATTTTTAAGATTTTTGCACCCACTTAGGCAGAGGATTGCACTCCTCAGATGTGCAAAACTTGTTTTTGTTCTTATAAAGTTTATTGTGTCCGAGTATGATTCGTTACGTTTCTCGCTTAGTTTCTCTGCTAGTTTCTGGATGGTTTTTGTAGAGCCTGGAGCTGCTCCTTCGGTACACGCCAAAATGAGTGGAACAAAGCTGCTGTGTTCCACATCCAGAATTCTTTGTTGGTATTTTATTGTTTTGACACTCTCATGATATTTGTAGGCGTCAGATATAGTTTTGGGGCAGGATTTAGCATGGGAGTTAAAAAATTTTACATCGAAAAAGGTTCGACTTAATCGGCCTCCTCAGAATCCATTTGCCTTGATGTCAAGTCGAGCCGCATCTTCAGTAGTGGTTGTTGTGTTGTGAAAGCTTTCGCCTTCCGACGATTGAAGTTTCGGCTTTATTTCAAAATCATGGTATACTTCGTCCAGGAGTGTCACAAAGGTATCGCGAATTTCATTGTGTCTTAGGTGAGTGTATCCACTTTTGGGACAGAGTAGAGGGAGTGTCAGTGTGAACGGTTGTCCACATGGGCACGTATTTGGGGTGTTTAGTGGTTCCCATCCATATCTCAGATGTAATCATCTTTAAACTTTGATTTGTTGAGAGAAAACTTGTTTTTTTAAGTCTAGCACGCTTAGCCAACTCGATGCTTCTTTCTGTGACGCTAGATTTATTGTCAATTTTTTTTCTGATCTTAATTAGAGATATATCAATATTCTTGAATCTTAATTTAATTTTTCAGTCAGACAGTACGTCATCTGAGGATATATTTTGCTGAAAATTGTTCCTTACGTTTACTGATCTTTTGGAAAAAGAATTTTGAATGTATATACTGTATTATCGTTCAACTAGGTAAAATGTTGTTCCTGGGTTTTCCTCGAATTGACAATTTAATTATTTGATTTTTTCATAAGCTGGAGTCAATTGTTTTTGATTTTCTACACGTGGTAAACCGATTTCTAGTCAGGAAACACTGAAGCTGGCTTTAGATTATATTTTAATCGGGGTATGTCATTTTTTGCACGATTGCAATAAAATTCTATGGCCAAATTACTTGTTTTGCGAGTGAAATTTATAGATTTGTTGAAATTTTGCTCAAAAAATTGCTGGGTAATGTAGATCAGGGTTGTCAAGATCTTGATTTTTTTTCTGGATTTTGACTACCCAATCTTGATCTTGACCATTACTCTTGACAAAAAGTCTATCTTGACCTGGACCTTCATTCTTGTTTCCACTAGAAAATCTTGACTTCAATCCTGACCATTGAAACTGAATCTTGACTCAACTTTGATTTTTTCACTCTCATATATTTAACGCTCTTTTCGCTGAACACCATCCATTCATGAATTTATTAAGAATAAAACGCACAAAGTGCAGCCAATATAAAATAACACAAATGCCTAAGAGGCTTTAAAATAAACTGTAAAAATGCACATAAAACTACTTGTTGCAAAGAGTGATGGTCGATGACCTCGGTGTCAGATGGTGATGATTCTTCTTCAGAAAAACGTTCCGAGCGTGAATAGCAGGATCCATGCGACATCGAATGAAATTCTTGGAAATTCGGCCGAACGATTATAGCCTTTCAGGAAGTCAATTTGTCGGCCAAAATCTTTTCAGATAATTCTTCAGGTCAAAATGATCCCATTCCATTCTAACTTCGGTTTCCTCAATTGACAGATCTTCTGCCGCAACATACACATGCTCGTACCCTTGATACTCACTGATCAAACGTTCTTAAACATGATCAAAAAACACACTTCTTGTGTCTATTAGTGCATTGACAACAAACATGTCCAGCCTTATTTCAAGCACTGGTCTTATGGCATCCTTGACACTTGGTTGCGTTTGGGTCAAATAAGAAAGACATTTATTTACTGATACTGTTAAGTTAACGCCCGCATTAGTCGCCCGAAGTTTCACTGATACTTTTTTTTTATTGACTTCAAGGTGACACAGATCTCTTTAATGACTACAAAATTCAGAGGCGATTGTTTTGCTGTTTTTTGCAATTCTTCCGATTTCTCCTGCAACTTGGAAGTACGCTTAAATTTTCTTACAATAGATCGAACCAGTTCAATACAGTTTTTGAAGTAGCCATGTCTCATCATAACTACGTCATCCTCTTTGCTGTCAAAACATTCAAAATCTTCTTCATCTGACTCTTGGTCTCAATATAACTTTTTACACATAAACTTTTAACATGTGCTTTACAGGGAAATTTAAACCAATTGAAAATTTCAGCTGCACTTTGCACGTCGGAACCGCAGTCTACAATTGAAACGGAGATATCACCGGGCAAGAAATTAAAATAATTTCAGATGATTTTTTATTGAGGTGCAAATATCTTCCGCTCCACAGACGCTTTTGTATGGAATCATACCTAGACATAAACTTTCACCACAATACAGATAAACTCCGATAAACTTAGACCAGTCAGCTGATGTCCACTTATCAAGTGATATGCATAACAGTTGCGCTTTTTCTCTATTAGGTTTCATTGATTTCACGTTTTGCGATGCTAGATGATGATCGCTGTCTATTGCTTTGCCAATCGCAAGCCGGGATAACGTTATGTCATAGAGTATTTTGAACATTTCACGTAGTACTGCAGAATTGACGACTTTATAAACAGGAATGTTATCCCCACAAACCAACTTTGCATCTGCTGCTAGTCCTTTAGAAGCTTTAATCTTAAGCATTTTGGCAAATGTAAGCGACGTTTGATTTGCACGTCTGGGTCGCTCGTTATTTCCAGTACATGACACAACATGCGAGTTTATTCCATTCGTGCCACCATTTGTGCGTTTTATGGGAATACCACACTTCAATCATTTGCTAACATCTGTGGGCTGTCCATTCTTGTATTCCTCCAGAAACATCTTACGAATTGCCAAGTTGGACTTTTTATTTGCCCGATAATCGTATCGGTCATTATGTCCATCAGACGTTCCGATTTCACCAACAGAACTACTGGTAGATTAAATGTAACACAATTTTACTGATAACGGCACATATATAACCCCCAGATTTGATTAAAGCAAAAAAATATGGCATATTTTAAAAATATGGCTGTTTTAAGTTTTCTTAAAAAGAGCAAGTGCGAAACGTCAAAAAAAATCATTGTTTTTGAAAATTTGGTATAAAATATTGTTTCTGTTTATTGAAATCTTGAAATGTTGATTAATTTTTGCGATTAAGCCTATGTAAGTCTCAAATCTTGAAATCTTGACGGAAACGAACCTGAACTTGCCCTTGACTCATGACTAAAATGCAATCTTGACCTTGATCCCCCCAAATCTTGACCATGATCTTGACCCTTGACCTTGATCTTGACAACCATGATGTAGAAGACTTGTGTGACATTCGACCAAAATGTCTTGAAATGCATGTCGGCAAAGAATTTTGATTTGGTGCAGTTTCAGAAAAAATTGGCTATTTTGAATGATTAGTGGTTTTAATCGTCAAAATAAACGCAATGGAAAGGATCAATTTGGGGTGACAAAATAGTTTTTTTTGAAAAATTCGTTCGAAATGAAAGACACGTCACGCCCACCTTGAAATTTTGAGACTACTGAAAAATTGCGAAAATCATAACAACGATTCTCGCTAGTCGGAGTAGGAACGACAATTTTTGCTAACAAAAACCAGATGAAGGAGAGATATAGCGAACGCCAGAAATTGTATACATCAATATTTGAAGAATACTCCACGTTGTAACGATTGTACAGCTACAATCATGACCGCGCCATTCCCGAGAATTCGGAGAGCTATTGGGAAGATCTGCTACCCCTACTGGTTGCCGAGAAGAAAGCTCATCGATCGGATTCGAGAATCCTGAAGGGTCTTGGGAAAAACAGTAGACATTGATTTGAACAATTGTTAGCTACCTGGAATGTCCTGAACCGAAATTAATTATCATCTTATTCAATTTTCAAAATATGAGAAGCTAGGAGTTGAGGGAAAGGGTTGATCCATCTCCGATTGGTATGATGACTTATATCTAGCGGACAAAAACAATAGTGATATAATAATTAAGTAGTAGCCCTGTTTTTAGTGGTCACCTCGTGGTCTCGGGAGACCTGTTAACAGATCATTCAGAGCTGAGCGGATGTTCTAAATAACAGGCATTTCGGGACCCGACATTTTTCAAACCCGAAACCCGATTACCCGATAAGCTAAAACCCGAACCCGAACCCGACGGTTTCTTCAAACCCGAACCCGAACCCGACATTCATTTCAAACCCGAAACCCGGCCCGAAACCCGAAAAAGATCTCAAAACCCGATTACCCGACCCGATACCCGACATGCCCAATTTTCAGGTAGATTAAATGGTATGAACGTTGACGCAATAAATTTGATGCGTTTTTAGAGTGTAACTTTCTCTTACAGTGAACAATAAAAATAGCTGTAAAAACAATATTTATGCAATAAATGTGTATTAAAATGGGAATATATATAGAAAACAAAAAAGTTCAACGGAAATATAAAGC